AAATAGAGCGCTGAAACCTGAACATTTGAAGAGTGTGATAGAGAAGTTTAATGTTCAATGTAGGTCAAAACTTCACCATGAGCACTTCCCTATTGTGCTTCATAGATCTATAGGTTGTTATAGTTAATCTGTATACAGTCTGTGGTCTAAACAGGGAGAACGGGTCTCAGAAGTATGGGAGGATCCTTTGCATCATTGTTAGTAAACTTGGCCAGTGTTTTTCAATTTAAATGTTTATTATTGAATGTATTATATCTTATTTTGGTCTCCCCGTGTCTGCGTAGGTTTCCTCCGGGTACTCCGGTTTCCCCTACCACTAAAAATATGTACAATAGTTCTGGCATGCGCCTCCTGTTCGGCGACCCCGCTCCCATCTCTGTGTAGAGTGAGAGACAAATGCCCAAAAAATAACAATTGTAAACCGCTTTGTGGCTCTGGTCTGTGAAAGGCGGTATATAAATAAAGCTTACTTACTTACTTACTTACTTATTTTAAGTAGGGTTTAAATACATTTCCATCAACTCTAAACCACATGCTGTACTTTTCATGTTCAACGCGCCACACGGAAACGCAAAAACACTATTGCGAAAGCAGGAAATCCGAGCTTGTTCCTGTTCATTGAAGGAGTTTGGGATTTCCTATGTTAAAATTTCTTCCGTGTATTTTTCTCTGCTGTTCCTGTTGAGCATCGGACCAAAATGGACCTCACTGAAGCGCTCATCGCTCTTGGACTTATTGCAAAAACACAATGCTTCACCTTGGCTCGAGTTTTAAATAAGCCTAGTTATCAGAGCTGTGGGGCTGACTAAAAAACTTAAATAAATGTGTTTTATTGGAAACTGGGATATTTCACACCTCATACTTGGAACATTGCATCTGGAACAGTTGTCTGTCCAATGACTTCTATAAGAATGAGGGTGGCCATTTTTGTAGTCTGGCTCCATTTTTGTCATTCTGACTGCGGGAAAAACCCACTACAAACGCACAAAACAAAAATCCAAGAGAATTAGAGCTCGGTCTAAAACTCAGAATTAGAGCTTGGTCCAACACTAAGTTTCTCTTTCTCTCTCTTTAGACCAGGTCTCATGAGCCGTTGTCAATTTTTTAAGTTGAATTTGTAAAAAGCGGAAAACATTGCCCATCTGACTGAAACCACACAATTCTAGCAAACCTAGTTCAAGAGTTGTTTTCTTCCATTTCAAATTTTGCCAAAACTGCCACTAATTTGTTTTCTGGTGCAGATCCAGCATGGTCACATGACGGCACCAAAACAGCAGTCCACAGCTCTGTGTGTCCAACAGGGGGAGCTGAAAGCACTTTTTCAGTTGTCCTGTGGGAGGGGCCACTTGCCAGGAAGTTTGTATGGGGAGGGTTTGTCCGGAACCAAGGACGCATTACATCATCGACCTAATCCCAATACCCACACTGCACCCTACACACCTCTACGAAGTGTGCACACCAGGGTCGGAGTGCGCAGGTTACAAATGTGCAAAAAAGGCGGAATTGGGACAGTGCACACTGAGTGCAGGTGACGTCATCGACTCGTCAAGAGATGGACATTTTCAGACCTAAACTTTATAAACATTAAAGGTCATTTTGTCTGACCCTTTGGGAAACAATATGAATTGCTTCACACACATTAAAATACATGTATATTAGTTGTTTCTAATTAGAGATAGCTGTATAATTTTGAGTTAAATGTGGGTAACTAACTATCTGGTCAGTTTTTCTACATTTTAAGATTATTGTACTAAGTGTAAAGTTTAAATTTAATGTTATATAAACGCTTGCTTTAAAAAGTTATTAAATTGTTAAAACACAATGTCCGTAATTCTTCATTAGACGTTTATGCTTCTTTCCAAGTAACATAGCAAAAATTATTTACACACATACTGCATATATATTTCAAAATGTATATTTAAATGCATTTTCCCGACGTTTTGGTATGTACCGCAAAGAATTATGGGCAATATCCGCGCAAAGGGGGCGGGGCCAAAGGCCTCCCTGGAGGATTGGGACACCCTACGCACTCGCACCCTTTATCGGGAACGCGCAAATGAGGGGCGCGAGGGTGGAAGTGCGAGTATTGGGACGGGGCCATCATAGTAAAAAACCAGTAAAACTGGAACTTCCACAGCTGAACTGGAACCACTACACAAAGAGAATGAACTATGACGTTTTGTAAATATTTTAATAGGCAAACAAAGTAAATCTGAGTTATTGGCCATTTTGTTTTCACATCTTTAATTTCACTGGAATGCTCTGAAGTTAGTAAAAAAAAAGACTTCCCAGTAACCCGCGGGAAAAGTGTAAACTCACTTAAATATAATATATATATACAACTTATTTTAATAATTTGTGAATACTATCCTCCCATAGGTCCACTTCTTTTTACTGCAGCTTTAAAAATACGACATGAGGAGTCTGTTTGTGATGTCACGTCGACATTACGGTGTCATGTTTAGATGTGTATTAGGTTCATGGTGTCATATTTGTACAGTGCACACAAACACTGGATGTTTGTTTAATATTACTAAGGCTTGTTTTTCCTGCTGATGCTAATGCTAATGCTAACTCGCACCTTTCACTCACTCAGGCTTTGTGCTGCTTCCACCTGCTCCACTACAAATGAGAAATCTCATCATTTCCATCAGCAACCTATAGCTGGTGTGCATTGCAAAAAACAATATACCGTATGCACTGCAAAAAGTACAACATTGCATTAATAGTTAATAAAGTATGTATTCAGTAGATTTTCTCTTGTTGTATTATGATATTTTCCAGTTTGGAGCAGTTTTGACCTTTTTCAAGCACACATTTTTTCCTAGATTCAAGGGTATTTAATTGAATACAGTGAGAATGACGTGTTTACACATTCTTATACCAAGGTCAGTGAGGATCAGATACAGACTACTGAGCCGTGCTAGCCGAGCTTTTTGCTTTGTAAAATTCTGTCAATGAAATGGTGAACTGTTGCTGAGGAGCTTTTGCTGGCAGAATATAGCCGCCCATCCAGTCATTTTCTTTTGTTTCATCTGTTGCCAGGTCACAGGGGCAGCAGTCTAATCAGAGACGACCTGCCAGACCACCTGAGAGACACAGGCCCTCCAGTGTGCCTTGGGTCTTCCCCTGGTCTCCATCCGGTGAGACACGTGGAGGCGGATCGCGTCTCAAAAGGTCTATGAGCATGTGCGCTGACATACTTGCAATACCACTCCTAGCCAATGGGGATGGACCCAAAAAGTGAAGTGTCCAACACTTTTGTATGGCGTGACTGTGGTCTGTAATATTTACAATCTGTGGTTGGGACATGCCCAGAACACCTCCCCAGAGAGGCATCCAGGAAACATTCCAAACAGATGCCGAGAAACATCAAACTGGTTCCTCTCATTGTGGAGAAGCATTGTCTCTACTCTGAGCTCCTCCCATGTGGCCGAGCTCCACACGTTACTGTATCTCTAAGGGAGCACCCAGCCCCGGCCAATGCGGAGGAAACTCAAACAAAATATATATATTTTCTAAACTGTTGTGTCCATGTAGTCTAAACACGATCTAGACTCCAGACATAAATACTTACTTCTGCATCAGTTAAAAGTTAAAATTATCTTCTTTTTTAACAAAACAAGAAATAACTTTGTTGGGTAATCTGAAAAATTACTTTAAGCTGAGGTACCCAACTTTCACAGTCTGAGTAGTCTCTGGCTCTAAAACAGTTTGCTTCTATCACTAATATTAACATGAACTTATGAATGGCCTCTGTCACATCAGCTTCAGACAGAAAAGTAAAACAGAGTATGACATGTTTTCTAATAAGTAGAAGACAGCATGCTGTGGTCTGATTTTACTTTTACGTACCTCTTTCTGCAACATGTATTTCTACGAAGAAAAAAAGTGAGGTAACCCAGCTTTAATGCACACAGAAACATAATACAAACTATTGCAGGTACTGTAATTTAGCTTTTCAGGTCAAAACTGCTCCAGAAATATGTTTTTTAATTCATTTCATGGTGTACATTACTTCTTTGTTTGGTAAATGTTGCTCTATTTTTACCCTCACACACATTCGCCAAAGACATAAATATATTTGTGGCCTGTTTAAAACCCGACATGGCCTTCCCTCGTGTGTGTCCTGTGATAATCGAGGCCTCTCCTTTTTGCAGTGCAGGAGCCAGTTGCATATGGGCTCCTCCTTTGGCTCCGATTCCTGTCGCTCCACACCTTTGTTATTTTTATGAATAGTTTTTGTCTGTTTTCTTCAGTCCATGCATTGTCTGTGTATGTTACAGAGAGCTGTACACGGATTATTCCAGGTAGATGTCCTCCGTGGGGCAGGAGTAGTCCACGAACTCTTTATAATACAACTGGAACGCTTTCCTGCAACACAGACAGACGCCGTTAAAGAACATGTGTCATGCAGTAGCCGTGTTCAGCGTGAGGTCCTGAACATAGACTGTGTGAAAGTCTAAATATTATTGTATATTATTGCTGGCTAATTAAAGTGCATATGACAGATACAATAAATCATTTGATTTCCCTCTCATATAATTCCTTCATCCCCATGAAAATGATAAAAGTTCTCATTAAATAATAAATTACACAATTCGTTTGTAAAATGCCTCAAATAGACATCTATTTGTGATACTTCCGCAAAATCCTTAGTCACGTGACGTGACGTAGCGTAAGGGAGTTTGAACTTGTCTCACTCTAGTTATTGCTATCACCCCTAGTAGCTGGTATCGGATTTTCTGTCAATTTGTCGTTTATTTTAGTGAATATGGTGAACTATTGTGTGTGTGGAGGGTGCACAAATTCTTCATCTTCCGGATTCAGGGTACATTTTTTTTTCCCAAAGGAAAAAAAAAGTCTTTTCTTTTCCGTGCCTGGGTGAATTTTGTACAGACGAAGAGGAAGGACTTTACGCGGCCTCTGTGACCACGAGCTCTGTCATCTGTGAAGCCCATTTCAAGAAAGAGGACTATCTAAGTGGAGATCTGATGGAAATGGAGATGGGCTTCAAAAGTCGAAACAATGTGAGGCTGACGGAAGGAGCCGTGCCCAGTGTACAGTCTTTATCTTTGTCTGCTGCTAGCGCGGCTGCTAGCGGGGGTCCTAGTGCTAACGCGGGTAATGTAGGTGCTGGTACAGAAAGATCTTCATCAGCTTCAACAAAACGCTGGTTATTTTCAGTAAGTAACAGTTAGCGTTGTTTCTATTTAAATGTATTAGCTACATAAGCGCTATTGTGTTGCATACATATGTTAGCTACTCAAGTTCAACTAGCAAGCATATAGCATAAGCTAGCATTATGTGAATGAATGTACTGCATGTTTGTAACACGTTTCAACAAATTAACTTGTGTAAACAAAATTTCCAATACTAAACCATAATTTTCTATTTGTATCTGTGTTAGTCATTTAAAATCCATTGTGTTTAAAAACGTCACAGTTGAACTCGTGAGTTACTGAAGTGGTGGGACTAATTTGTCAGCTGGTATTTCCCAATTTCTAACTGGGAGTGCTGTTCCCATTTCAGTAATTTACAAGTTGAATTGTGACATTTTTGAACCAAGAAAATTGTCTAAACTTTTACAAATGAGCAGCATAACGCAACATTCAATTATAACCAAGTTTGCGGTTTAGTATTTGTCCTGTTTTGCTCATATAAGGCAATTTGTTGGAAATTACAATTTTTCGAAGCTTGTTTAGCTTCATACAAGTTGCTGACGGATGATGTGTAGTAAATGTTTTTGTGCGTTTCAGATTTTAAGTGAAGATGATGAAGCTCTTACAAAAGAAATCATGAATGAACCCGATGAAGACTTTACCACTGATTCTTTGCCAAGAACTATCGATCAGGCTCTACAGTGCAACATAAGACTTCCTTATCGTTCATCCGGTAATGTTTGTTTCCCAACATGGATTGAAATAGTATCTAAAAGTTACTAACACATGTCACACTCACTTTGTAGAACTTAATTATAATATAAAATGGAAAACATTTTTCCCCCCCTGATTCAGAAAGTTTTCCCTTATGTTCAAGGTGTCCAGGTGAAGCCTACATTGATAAGTATTGGCACTCAAACTGAAGAGGATATTCATTCCACTACAACGGCCATCAATCATGTGACCTCTACACCTGTGAAGAATGATGAGGAGGATGAGCAGTCCTCCTTTGATTTTGATAGTCATCAGTGGGACAGCTCTTGGAGCCTTGAGGAGGAGGAAATGGACACTGATACATCGGAGGAAGAGGCACAGGACGAAGAACAGAGAAATACAAAGTAAGTGATCATTGTTGTATAATTGGACTGTTCTAATGGGGAAGTAAATGTATTAACTTTACTTTTCAATAGATTTGTAGACAAATTTATAGTTTGTGAATCACAATTGCTGTCCTTGTTGTTTTTATTGCATAACTTAATGAATTCATTTTCTTACAGATTTGCTCTGCTTGTGGTTTTGAACGGGAATGGCAGAACCAACCAAAGATGCACAAATATATGCCTTTGTGCAACTTGATGCTTAGTGGGGCCATCCACTTTTCAGGGTGCATGCCAACACAAGCTTTGAGGATGCTTGGCTTGCTTGGAGTGCAATGTATAAGTGTTAGGACATTCTTTTGACACCAGCAACTATACACGATCCCCACCATCATTGGAACAAATTCTGAACCAACTGAAGGCCAAAGAGGGAGGGCTTATTCTTGCTGGCGACTGCAGGTGAGTTGAAGATGAATAACTCTCATACGGTATGAATAATTATAACAATGTATAAACAAACAAACATTTGAACAGATCTGATTCACCGGGGCATTGTGCTAAATTTGGAACATACACCGTAATTGAGGAGAGGATAAACAAAGTTTTGGACCTTCAACTTGTTCAGGTATGGCAATACTGTGGCTGAGTCACATGTTTCAATTTCAATATGGCCTATCTGCACGCTGATCACATGATTATCTACGTGTCTGGGTGGATTTTCTCCGGGCACGGTTTTCTACTACCACACAATAACATGCACCATAAGTAAACCCATGTGTTGACCAAGCCAACTATCTGCAGAGGTGGAGATGGAAAAATATGAATGCATTACATACATTTTCAAACCAGCCATGATTAGTTATTAATGTCAATATAGAATTTAATATTAAATACCATCATGTATAAGGCATAAGGAATTTTGTATTTAAAAGGTTCATAGTTAGTCGTGCCTTGTACACAAAGTTTGGGATGAGAATAATCCTGTTTTTGTGTGCCTCTCAAAGAGCTCGGAAGTACCCAATAGTAATTGGTGTGAATTGGAGGGACTAAAGCGGACCATCAACCTTCTTTCTAAGGAGAAAATTAGTGTCTCTACGCTTGTGACTGATCGAAATCGCCAGGTAAATGAATGTGGATAACTTTTAATAATATCTTCAGTCACAGTCATTTATATCAAAGACTTTTGTTACTCAAAAGGTGGCCAAGTGGGTGCGTGAGAAGCTATGTCCAGAAGGCACAAAACATTTCTTCGATATTTGGCATGTTAGTAAAGGTAACTATGAAAGCACTTTGGTGAGTTATGGCACAAACAAAGTTAGTTTCACCTCAAAAATGGATTGTTGATTGGCCCATAGTTCATGTTTCCTAAAAACTTCAAATCCAAATCCACCCATAACCGGAGTTGTGTCATAAGCAAATGGACAAATTCTCCCAATCACAGATGGTGGTAATAATGATCTAATTATAAATTGTCTTGGGACCGTCTGAAATATTTTTGCTTTTATAATTCATGTTCTGGTTTTTCAGGTTTAAAGAAGGCTTTGGATGCTGCCTCTAAAGAGCAACACTGTGAGGATCTCGCCCTCTGGAAAGCTGCAGTTATAACCATCTTTACTGGACTGCTGCATCCACACCTGATGGCAATCCTGAAGTGTTGGAGGCAAAGTGGACTAGTTTGGTGAACCATGTCCAGGACATCCACACTCACAAGAGCCCCTGGTTTCCAGTCTGTGCTCATCCTCCTCTGGAAGGAGAAACCAGAGAGAAGCAGTGGCTGGAACCAGGTGATTTATTATTATTGTTGTTGTTAATATTACAAAAGTGAACATGTGTGCTAACCATCCCTCGCGTGAAGAAAGTCCCCACAGAAAGATGCTGTGAAGCCTGAGTGTTAGCCTGCCTGCCGCCATATATTATTCTAGGAAAGCATACAATTTTGTTTGAACTTGCACTGACAAAATAAATTGATCACAGGATGGTATCCATAAAGCTGGAGAGCATGCCTCCAGAGAGCACGCCTCATTCACTTGAGGCGTTCCATGCGCTCATTCTCCACTTTGCACCGAAACACACTGGGTTCTCCTTCCTGGGCATGTATAGCAGGTAAATATTGGCAAATTTTTTAAACTGCTGTTTTACTGTCCTATTTTATAACAACAATTTTTCCAATTCCCACTAGGCTTCTTCTTGCTGCCCTTCACTTCAACCATAACAGCAACAGAGAAGTTCTGCGATCTGACTGTGAGGTCCGCCATCAAGTACGGTACCCACGGTTTATGAAGGGTACTGCAGTGGTCCGTCCAATGAAGGAGACTCCGTCATATGGTTTGCATCAAGCGTAACTAAGAATAAAATGGATTGTACTGTTGGTATATGCATCTAATTTATGTCTGTATCCATTAGAATATGCGTTTGATCTTATGGAGCATCTGCATCGAACCTACAGCAGCACTCCGGAGGAGTTGAGACAAAGCAGTGCTCTCCTGGCATCCTCCGCGCCGCAGCCTCTTACAGCATCATTTCAGAAAGTTCCAAAGGAGGAGGCAGTCAGACAATATAAAGCGCTTCATTCTAGATTTTCTTCCCAGTGAATACTAATTGCTAATTTCCACCACTGAGCGGGAAATCCAGAGCTCTGACTGCAGACACTGCTCCCTCTTCACCACAATAGTCAGACACAGCGACCATGTCAGAAAGTGTGAATGAATAAGACCACTTACAGTCTTCATCTTATTAGAGAACTTGCCCATTGAAATGTTAGTAAAGAGAAATATTCAGCATGTTTTTCTTTTTTTTCTGGTTTGAAAATGCACAGGTTAATTGTAATATTAATATCAAATTACTTGTTAAGTGTTATGAGTGTTTTGTAAGTTGTAATGTAAACTCCAATACTTTGGATTTTAATAGTACAATATTCCCACATAATTGTAAATATTGACAAAGCAAGTTCATACTTTGTTAGTCATATCTTTGCATGTGTTATTATTGTTACTTTTTGTATTGTGTATATTCTAAATGTGTTTGCATACAAAAAACACTTCTACAGCATAGATTTACCTTTTTATTCATAATTTGGTAAGTTGGGCCACTGAAAGCCTTTGTACTGCCCTTGTTCTGGAAAGGAATTCCTTATTATGGAAACAATGCATGATGGTATGGGCTTTCTTAGGTGCCTGCCCAGGATGCCATATGCCCAGCGCACCACCTGCCTGTAAGCTGTGTAGCGATACTGCCTGCAGAGTTACATTTGCATGTCAACACACAGACATCCACCATGATAGAAATGTGATGAAAAAGAGAACCTACTCATGCTGGGTAGCAACAAGAGGGCCAAACTCCTGCCTGAAGTTGAGGTAAGCTATCTGAAGCACATACGGATTCAGACAGCAAGCTTCAAACCCTGGATGTTCTGTCAGACAGGTAATATTTGGTTGTGGTGGGTTTATCTTTTCCACCAAGTTCCAATAGGCATCAACCTCCCTGCAGCACATGCTTTCCTCAGCTGTTGGCATGAATTGACATTTCCCACACAAGCACCTTTGAGAAATAATCAAATTATATAAATTAAAGGTAGTGCTAGTTGCCACTGGAGGGCAGCATAATTTTATAAACGACTGTATAATAATCATGTGATATGCGCAAATGGGGAGTACGACTTAACCTATAGAACTAAACCATGCGCTCTTCCGCGGGTGAGACATCTTAAGAGCGCATTCATGAATGGACAATGCCCTATTTAAACAATATATGGTTTTAAGTAATAAAGTTAGGCTACGTTTTATACAGAATTTAGAATTTTGCGCGGCTGTCGCTGCCTAGCTTACCAAGATGATTGGCCTGTTCGCCATTCATTTTATTGACACCAAAGCTCAATTTCCCTTCTATGGCCATCATTCCTCACTCTCGGGCGTTCACGTTCTCTGTGATCTATCACAACAGGCTCAAAATTGTATGGAATAGGTCCATCATACAACAGTTGTGATGCATCGCGCTCCATTGTTATACTGTATATAATATACAGCAATGTGTTGTGTACCTCGCGTAGGGCTCGGAACCGGGTTGGAATGCGGAAGTAAATATTTTCACATAAAATGCAATAAACTGTTAATATTACTTATATTTTATATACATTTCAACCTTAATAATAAATATGATTGTGTTATCGACATTTAAGTGACATTGGTACCCTAATCTGTCATATGCACTTTAATGAAGAAGACTGTTCTATGGAGTTTTAAATAGAGCAATTAGTAAGATTTTCATGTCAAGTCATTGTTAAATGGCCCTAATCTGTCAAAAGGCATTAACAAAACGTGATCTTTTCAAATACTTCTTTAACTGATAACAGGAAGTAAGCCAAGATATTTGGATTTCAAAATACGTTTTACAGCCCCTAAATCATTTCGATGTCCCGCACTCCACCGTTTCACCAATCAGAAAGTCCATGATCCGGGTTGTCAGAATTCACCGCGTCAAGCTAATCTCACTGGTAAAGTAACATGTGGCAGCAGAACTAAAAAAGGTCTCATTAAGATTCTCAAATTATTAATGAGAAAACAAGGAATAAAACAAGAATTTCTATCGGGGCCTTTGTGAAAAAGGTTTTGGTTATAGATTTGTTCTTGACAAAACTCTTATTATGGTCCCAGCTGGATTTGACTGCATATCTGGCAACCTGAGTCAGGGAGAGTGTAGTGCCAGATTTTTACATACTGCTCCTTCAAAATGCATGTAGTACATAGATATACTATCCTGTATCTATGGGAGTTTGGTCTGTGTCAAAGCCATCTTCAGCTCATAGTCATCCCATCATAGGCCTACGTGGTCTGTATATTCTATCCATACGTTCATTCTACAAAGTCATGTTTCCCAAGTCTGTGTTTACCAAAGTGTTCCAGGCCTATATAAGCCCCATCCTTTTCTTTGATAATCAGACTTTTGCCAGACTTCTGGAGCCAGCTCTTCTGCAAAAGCTGCCATGGACCAGACTTGGGAGCTGTCTAAGACCTTGCTCAAAACTTCCAATAAAAGCATTTTTTTTTTTTAAACGTCTTAAGAGCCTGTTGAAACCAGGTGACCACAAAGATATTTGTTAAAAATGAATGGACTCACCCCACAGACTCTGCGATGGCTTTGGTGGAGTTTTCGGACACAAAGACGTGACAGGCAAACCTCTGGTCGGCCGGGTGCTTCGTGATGAAGCCGAAGTATCTGCAGAGGAACACACAGTCACAGACGGTGAGAGATCACACACACCAACCCCTAAGAACCATTACAATCATGAGTATTAACAGTGCATTCAAAACAGCAAATCCTTCAGTCGTTTGAACACAACGGTTTTAAACCTCGATTTGAACGTTGTCAGAGTCGAAAACTGTCTCACAATTTCAAGAAGTTCTGTTCCTGATTTTAGCAGCATAAATCTGAAACGCAGAATAGGGCCTTTCTGAGAGGAGTTTGCATGTTCTCCCTGTGTCTGCTCTAGTTTTCTCCGGTTTCCCCTACCACTTAAAATACAGTATGCATGAAAGATAAAAAATCCTCCAGCTCTGGTAGTCCTGATCAAGTGGAGTATCAACATGTGGAGATGGGTTCCCGGGCGATGTTACTACGGCGACCACTGCTCCTGACGTAAGCCTTAGTGGCATCAGGATGGGTCAAATGCAGAGAACAAATTCAAATCAGGTGAACTTTGTGACGGGGATAAGGTTGATAAACTAGTTCATCGGGTGACTGTCTTTGGGAAATGTTTACCTGAACAGACATGTGTTAAAAAGAGGAGGACACATTAAGAACGAGTAATCGTGATCTAGATCTTTGGGACGTATACACTTAATTAAAATAACCACGTTTTCTATATTTATTTCAGATGCTGCCTCTTATGTTATCTAAAAAAGTGTTGTCAAAACTGAATAGCTCAATCATTTCATTTATTTAGAACAAGAAGAGAGCAAAGTATCTCTGTTTACCAGCGCATATGGGTGGGCTTGCTGCTCCTTCTTTACCGCTATATCTTTGGTCTGCACAATTTAAATTCATACTAGAATGATTTAAGCCAGATGCAAACTCAATTTATATAAGTACGGAATGTGCATCTTTGAAGGAAATGCCCCTCCGGAATCTGCTGTATATATCGCACAACAACACCTCTACAATTATAAAGGACCATATGCTGTTGCATAATATGGTAAAGAATTAGTGACAGACTGGGCCGTTTCCACGGGCCCGACTCTACTCGACTCAACTCTACTCTCCCCGGTTTGCGGACATTTCCACCGTTACTTTTTTGGTAACGTCTTTAGACCTGGCTCTAGTTGGGCCGAGCAGATACTGTAACCCCAGCAACGTCGGCGAACGCTGGTGTGTCCCACTCTGCAAAAAGCAGACGCCTTTTCTCTGGCATCTCTAACATTTATAATAAATACATAAATATAACATTCATAATGAAGATGCTTTCAAATAATTAGCTGTAAACCATTTATGTTTTAACTCCACACGGCTCCTCCCCTGCCAAACTCCTCTCTGCTCTCTCCTCCGCAAACCACCACAATGAGGAAAAGGGAATATTCACTCAATCTATTTTGAATGTTACACAATTTTAATATAGGCTAAGCACGCGTAACATCTGTAGCCTGTGTAATTACAATAGACTGTAAATATTAAAGTAATTACGCACCTGCTTAGAACAGTATGCGGCAAATTCGCTCGCAAACTACAAGGGGTAGTTGGAATTGAGGTTTCAAAGAATATGGTTCAAACGCACGCACTCAAGCACACACACACAAACACACAGGCCCTCATTTAGGAAACTTGCGTAGAAAAAGGTGTACATTTTGGGTGTATATTCCATTTACGCAAGATCCAACGTCGGATTTATGAACGTGTGAGATCCGCCCAGATCTGAGCGTACGCAGCTGCGGGTGCTGATAAATGCCGCGGCTGAAAACGAACGTATTTATGAAAGTCACGCCTAGAATTATGCAGCAATCGCCTGTTTCCCGCCCCGTCTTTGCGACAGGTCAGCAGGAAGCCGGCCAAAAAGACTAAAAATAAATATACTAAATTCAGCTGCGTTTTGAACAAATTTGCAAAAATGTTTTGATACATTATAAAAATCTCTCTTGAATTGTAGAAGTGAATAAATATAGATTGAATGAATGAATGAATTCATATATATTATGCAGCGGTGACTCTCATCAGCGTATAGATTTACACCACCTCCAGACCTGGCGTATATATTTTTTGCGTATTGTACGCTCACGTCCAGATTGATAAATGCGTACGCCTCATTTACCCTGATTTGGCCGTACGCAGTTTCATACGTGAGGCCCACAGTGTGTCTCACACAGGCCTAGAGTTTACCTCATCAGTGCGAGGCCAGCCAGGCCTGACCGCGCTCTCCTCCTCTGGGACCTACGGGCCCGGGCCTCTGGCTCCTCTACCTTTCTTAAAACTAAAATTAAAAAGGCTACTCCGTTGTGAATGTCAATCTTTAAGAGGAGGAATAGCTGGTTGTTCTCGGGGAACGAGCTTTGCGCATGGGTTTTGCGATGTTTGATATGATCATGCAGCTTATTGGACAAAATTGTTCAGCCAATAAACAGATAAACTATATTTGAAGCAACGAACCTGATGACGCTCAGGCGGTTACATTTTCTAAAAACATTAGAACGCAACATTTTAGCAATAATGTGTGTATAGAAATAACAATATTAAAATTATGTCTTTTAATAAAAAAGGCAAATGACTTGAGAGGCGAGGAACAAATTTGAGTAGGCCAAGATAAAAACTGGTAAAAACTACCCAGGCCTATACCTGGCGCCGCGGCCGGCTTAAGGCCTGGGATGCCCACAGCGTCATCAGTCTACGCGCCTCTGTGTGGATCACACGTCTCTCTTCGGGCTGGAGCATTTTGAGGGTTTTAAAGCAGGAGTCAGAAAGGTGGCGATCTTACGGGTGTTTGTGATTTTTTGGTTTAACAGCCTCCCTGTTAAACTTAATTATATATATATAATTATATATAGGGATCAGGAGCTTTATGACCCGACCCACCCGCACCCGACATGACTCATATTTTTGAGGCATCCAACCCGCCCGAAACTGCGGGTTGACCGCGGTTTTCGGGCCGACCCGCGCATCACTACCCCTTAGGTAACACGTTGCCATAGATACACAGGGCCGATGGAAACGCTCTCAAACCGAGTCGAGTCGTGCCGAGTCGAGTTGAGGCGAGTAGAGTCGGGCCCGTGGAAACAGCCCTTAATTCACCCTCGCTGTGTGAAGGAGAGGTTCCGTAGGTCTTTCCTTCCTGCTGCTGTCAGACTGTACAATAAGAACTGCTGAGCCTGTAAATTTAATTCATCTGTAAATAAGTAAATTCTTTAATTATGTGCAATGTGCAATACTGCAACTTCAGAATGTCACAGAACAATGTCACTTTACCTCATGTCACTTTACTTATCTACTTATTATCCTGCACTATTTAACTGTACAGTATATAACTGCACTACTACATTTTTTGACTGGTATTGAAGCATTTTCAGCATCTACAGCTAGTTATGTTAGTTAAGAAACATAGCTACTACTTATTTGTATATATAGTGTGTCCTGTGTGCTCTTACTACTGTCCTGTATGTGCGCTGAAACATTTCCCCACTGTGGGACGAATAGGGGAATTCTTATCTTATCTTATCTTAGATCTGGCGGAAGGTCAGGTACTTAGAAGGTCATAAGAATAATTTTTCCCTATTAACGCCTATACATGAGAAGCCTGATTTTGTGCCAGGTATGAAGTCAGGCTTTGCAGAATGGTTCCGGAGGGGTATTAAAACTGTGGGTGACATGTTCGAGGACAATGCACTTCTTTCTTTTCAACAACTAAAAGGGAAATATGGTATTGTTGATGCTGACCTTTTGAAGTATATGCAAGTTAAACATTTTATTCAGTGTAAAATTTGAGAGTATGATGGGAATGTGACCGCATCCCCTATTGAATCTCTGATTTGAAATACCACAAAACTCAAATCTTTTTCCAAAGGGGTGTATAATGTCCATTGTGCATGTAACACAGACAATTCTGTCAGAGATAAAAGCATGTGGGAGCCTGACCTGGGCCCCATAACAGCAGAATCCTGGACTGAATTGTGTAGCAGACCCTTCAAAGCACTGGCATCAAACTCCATTTGGGAGACAGTTTAAAATTCTACATAGGCTCTTCATAAATCCTGAGAAGAGGCACAAAATGTATCCAACTCACTCCGAGATGTGTAATAAATGCCAACTGGAAGTTGGAACCTTCTTCCACTGTTTATGGAGTTGCCCTGTGATACTTCGATTCTGGAACGCGATTATTGTGAAGCTCTGTGCAATATTACTATACCAAGAACATGCATTCTACTGTAGGTCTTAATGATGAACTCCCAGTAGCTGTTACAAAAGGGGATCTGTTACACACACTTTTACATTGTGCCCGAAAATGCATAATTGTACGGTGGATCTCAGCTTAGGAGCCCTTCTCTCATCAGTGGCTACAGACTGTGATCAGCATCATTCCTATGGAAGCCTTCTCCACTCTACTAAAGGACAAACCACACAGGTTCTATAGGACATGGGACCCCTTCTCGGACTTTATTGACATTCCTTCTGCACAAATGATTCGATCAGGCCTAATGTCTTTGGCTTGGTCAAAAGACTCCTAACTACAAATCTCCTGTCACAATCCTTGACATTACACAAATATATACTGCTCTGCTTTGGGTGTGTTTTTGCTGCTACTGGACTCCTGAATTTCTCTCACAGGGATCAATAAAGTATCTAACTTACTAACTAATTATTGTTTGTGAATCCGCAGCTTTGTAAAGTCCTCAGAGACGATATCGGGCGATACACAAAAACAATGGGCCTCATTCACGAATAACTTCGTAAGAAACTACTCAACTTTCTTCTCAAGTTGTCCTTAAGTAGATTTCTAAGAAGTCCCCACGTGGGATTCATCAACGCACTCGTAAGCCGCTGAATTGTTCGCAGCTGTTCTCTCAGATTGATGAATCCCATTTCCTCGTAAGTACAGCGCGCGTGCCCGGTGCTTCATTACCATAGGTACTTAGCATAAGTAACCGCCCACTAATGCCCATATAAGGGACTGCAGGGCCGTGTGCAGACGCCAGAGGAAACAGCAACAGGCCTAAAGCAGGCTTTTGCCAGACTGAGAATAAAGTTATAAAATGTTGACTTAAAAGTCGAAATATTATGATTATAAAGTCGAACTAGCAAAATTATGAGATTAATCTAAGAATATGATGAGATTAATCTCAAAATGTTATGAGCTTAATTTAAAAATATATTATGTATTATTTTAAAGATGAATCTCAAAATGTTTTGAGATTAATCTCAAAATATTTTGGACCCTGGGAGGAGATCCAGCGCGGACCAGCGCTGAGACCAATGCAGACCCGAGGAGAGACTGGAGTGACCAGCACACAGAAACCAGCGCGGACAGGAGAGACCGCATAGACTGGAGACACCTGACTGGAGAGACCGGTGCGCAGAGACCAGCGCGGACCGAAGAGAGACCGCATAGACCAGACTTGAGAGACCAGCGCGGACCCGTGTGGATCCATGGGAGAGACCAGCGCAGACCCGTATAGATCCATGGGAGAGACCAGTGCAGACCCGTATAGATCCATAGGAGAGACCAGTGCAGACCCGTATAGATCCATGGGAGAGACCAGTGCAGACCCGTATAGATCCATAGGAGAGACCAGCGCAGAGACTCAGCGCGGACCCAGTAACCTCCTGCAGCAGCAGTATATATGCCGTTGTTCTGTGGCCCGTGGATAAAGAAATGCCCCCTATAAATAGGAAGGGGTCACTAATACACGGCAAGATTTCCAATGTATTTGATAAAGCGTTGGCACATTTCATTTCAAAATGAATTAAAAAGTAGGCCAGATCTGCAGTGAAAAAGGCGGTATATAAATAAAGATTACTAATAAAGATTACTAGAAATAAATAAATACATACATCGATATGACGGACATATCACTGGAATGTTGTATTTTTATTCAACTTCACCAAAGAGGACAACCCCGGCGTGTGAACATGTCGGCACTGAATGCGTACGAGTGCTCCTGAGGACTCGTAGGATTTGTACTTGCCCAAGTGAAATTCTGGTTACGAGAAATATTCGTGAATGCCACTTTCTTCGTAAAAACCGCGTAAGTAGGATTTACGTACAAATCTGTTCCTAAGAACCGTTCGTGAATGAGGCCCAATGAACCAAACCTGCTGTTCTTGGGGTGGTATCCGCAGAAAGACACATTCTTTAGTTGGAAGAAATGGTTGCACTCGTTACTCTGTGGAGCAGACGGAGCACACAGTGTTAGAGTCTTATGAAGACACAAAACGATGACAAAAATGTTGAGCAATGACGAGAGAGCGCACCCCATCACAGCTGTAGTAGTCCTCTTGCACCGACAGCTTGATCCCTTTCACGTCAATCTCCAACAAACAGGACGAGGGCGGGTTGTACTTCACCGTCATTCTTCTGTTGGTCGCAATCTACAAGATAAGACAAGTTTGCATGATCACAGAGAAAGACCAGAAAGAGAGAAGAGAGAAAGCAGAGAGGGAGAACAGAGAGAGACCAGAGAGCGAGCAGAGAAAGGCCAGAGAGAGAGCAGAAAGAGACCAGAGAAAAACCAGAGAGAGGCCAGAGAGAGAGCAGGAAGGGAGACCAGAAAGAGAGACCAGAGAGCAGAGAGAAGCCAGAGAGAGACCAGGCACCAGAGAGAGAACAGAGAGAGGGAGAGAGAGCAGAGAGAGGGAGAGAGAGCAGAGAGTAGGGAGAGACCAAAAGGAGACCAGAGAGACCGGAGAGTGGCCAGAGAGAGAGGAGAGTGAGAGAGCAGAGAGAGACCAGAAAGAGAGACCAGAGAGAGAGCAGGGAGAGACCAGAGTGAGAGAGCAGAGAGAGACCAGAAAGAGAGACCAGAGAGAGACCAGAAAGAGAGCAGGGAGAGACCAGAGAGACCAAAACGTTTGGAGCAGTAAAAATGACGGCTCTGGGAGTTCAAGCAGTTTCATAATTGTGAGAATCCTGGTATTACCAAGAGACCTACATATGAAATTTAGTTAAAGAACTTCTCACATTAAAAAAAGATAATACCATAAAAATAACGACAAAGATAAAAACTACACAGAAAAGGTCACAAGACAAGAAAGACAAACAAATGAACATTACACTTCCGAAACTAAAAGCCGTCAAATTGACTGGCAGTTAGAGTAGGGTTAAGGCTAAAAGTCGGTCAGTCCACTCCTGATGCAGTCTCTGGCTCACACTGGTCCAGGTGAAAAGGCCAAGACTGCAGAGGTGGGACAAAGTCATTGTTTAGCAAGTCACAAGTCAGTCTCAATTCATTGCCCTCAGGTCCCGAGTCAAGTCACGAGTCAAGACAGGCAAGTCCCGAGTCGAGTCCAAGTCAAAGGCCAACAAATCTCAAGTCAGTCCCAAGTCCTACGGTTTGACTTTCGAGTCCTCTCGAGTCTTTTTGACCGCGATTTGTTTCTTGTTGGTCTCCACGTACTTTTGTAGGCAAACAAAATAATGTTAGGAATCATTTTGCTGGTGCATTCTTGTTGGTCTCTGACCCATGGACTAACAGTTTGTTCCATGTCGTTGGCTGCTGGTAAATCAAAACTATCTACGTGATCTAATTGGATGTTGTGCCAGATGCAGGCTCAGTTACACATGCACAGACCACACATAAAATCAGAGCAGTCCATGTCAACATACTTTTTATCTTTGGGGTTTTCAATGGGAAGTAGCAAGTGCAGCAGTGCAGCATATATGAATATGAGTATTGGGCTAGGACCTGTATCTATATAATCAGTTTAATGTCCGTAGTGGTTATTGTTCCAAAGGACTGAAGGGACCAATGGAGGGGAAGGACCCCGGCCTGTATGAACTGGGCCAGCATTAGTAATATCTCATAATTACCAATATATCATTACATAATAAAATGTCTCATATAAATTAATTCAATCAGTCAAAGCACTGATTCTCATATCAATGCACCATAAACAATAGTGCAAATATTAATCTAGCTTAGTGCACATAATCAAAACAACTATCTAATGTATGCAAACTTTAGCAGGAGGAGCACAGCAAAAACATACTCATAATAATAGGCCTCGGCGCGCACACAGAAAAATATAAGAAAGAGCTAACAGAGCAGCGCAGGCTAGCACTAGTTTGACTCACCAGTTCCTCTTTAAAACACGGCACACAGTGTGACAACTGCGTCGATTCAATTGTATGAGGCGCCTGTAGTGAAAGCATATCAATTACGGTTTGTAGAACAAAATATGACGTTAGGTTGCGATAAATACCTGCAGCTCGCTCATTTCCAGCTCCCCTAGACAACACACCCACCGGTGAATGCAGTGCGCTTGTTTAGGGAAGTGTTACTGCGCGAACTGCGGGGAACTCACGTTCGAACTCTCTCGCGAGCGCTACAACTACCGCGAGGCTTTGTTTCTTCAGAGACGGCATCGATAGAAAGAGAGATGCGGAGAAAGGTAAAAATGGCCCGGGTTACGCAAGTCTTTGCAAGTCAATTGGCGCAAGTCCAAGTGAAAGTCAGAGTCATTGATGTTAAAGTCCAAGTCGAGTTGCAAGTCTTTTTACATTTGGTCAAGTCGAGTCTAAAGTCATCAAAATCATGACTCGAGTCTGACTCGAGTCCAAGTCACATGACTCGAGTCCACACCTCTGCAAGACTGTGATAAGGTCTGGTTTTGTCTCTGTAGGGAAATGTCCTCGGTGTAATAACCTGTCTGCAGAGGTCGTGGTTGAGGATGGATGGTCGTGTAATTGAATCACCTTTTGCATAGCAGCACAGAGCACGTCGTTGCCTTTGTGGTACGGCACCTGCACGGAGCCCAGGAACTTCAGACGGTATCGGTCCATCCACTCCCCGCTCGTCACTGGGGGAGACCAGAACAAGAAGGAGAGTGAGGAGACTGTGCCCTCACCTCACTACTGCGCTCTCTGGTCTCTTTCTATGGTCTTTTTTTGGTCTCTCTGGTCCTGGTCTCTCTCTCTGGTCTCTCTCTCTCTGTGGTCCTGGTCTCTTTCTCTGGTCTCTCTCTCTCTGGTCTCTTTTGTCTCTCTCTGGTCTACATCTTTAGTCTCTCTCTAGTCTCTCTCTCTGGTCCTGGCCTCTGGTCTATCTCTCTGGTCCTGGTCTCGCTCTATGGTTTCTCTCTTTAGTCCCTCTCTCTGGTCTCTATAAACAGTATAGTAACCTCAGGCATATACTGTGCATGGATCACATATTCGTACCCTTGTCAGGCTCGCGGGCCGCCTCCATGGCGTAGTAGGCAGGGAAGACTCCGCGGGCCCCGGTCCTCATGTTGAGACCCTCGAACCAGAAGTCCTCAGCCTGAACCTCCACAAACAGAGGGTCGTCCACCTCCAGCTCCAGCTCGTCCTCGTGACGAGGGACAAACCTGAGAGAAGCACAGAGACAAGATTGTCACTATGTATCTGAAAACAAAAATCATTAGAACGACCAGAGAGATCACAAAGAGAGAGACCACAAAGAGAGAGAGACCAGACGGCAAAAGACCACAAAGAGAGAGAGAGAGAGATCACAGAGCGAGAGAGAGACTAGAGAGAACACAGAGATAGATAGAGAGACCAAAAAGAGAGAGCAGAGATTCCAGAGAGTCAGAGAGGCTAGAAAGAGAGCGATAGACCCGAGAGATAAGGAGACCAGAGTGGGACCAGAGAGAGACCAGAGTGGGACAAGAGAGAGACCGGAGTGGGACCAGAGAGAAACCAGAGTGGGACCAGAGAGAGACCGGAGTGGGACCAGAGAGAAACCAGAGTGGGACAAGAGAGAGACCGGAGTGGGACCAGGGAGAGATATCAGAGACCAGAGAGAGAGACTAGAAATAATGCCCTAATTTAAACCAATGAAATGAAAGAATATTCATAACGATTCAAAATGGCTCTTCCTGACAAAATGCAATAATACAAACAAAATACGTTATTTATTTATTTTTATTCAAATGGCGATAAAACAATTAATAGTAATAGCCACTTAATGAAAGGAAAGTAAAGAAATGAAGTACATAAAACAAACGACCAACATTTACTGTATGATCTCGTCTGCCTAGAAGGAAGCAACTATCTAAAATAAACTAAACTAGTCCGTCTGAAAAGGAGTGGGGGAAGTAAACACTTATATAATCCCACCCCTTTCTTCTGTACTTCAATTTTGTAACTTAATAGACTTCCTCTTAATAATTATTTTAGCTCAGGATACAAGTCATAATACACATGTTAGCTCTGGATAAAAGTTATGATACACATGTTAGCTCTGGATAAAAGTTATGATACACATGTTAGCTCTGGATACAAGTTAAAATACACATTTTAACTCTGGGTACAAGCTATAATACACATTATTATTATTATTGAACAGTATGAAAACAAAATGTGTGTCTTTCCCAAAAACCCAGAAAATATACAATGTTTATTCTTTGAACAGATTTTACTACATTTTGAGTTATTCATCAATCTTGAATGTATCTTTAGTGACTTGATGTGAATATGATCATTACAAAAGGAGATGATTACACTGAATCCTGCAGTACTAAGTGTGGCCACAGGGTGGTGACTGTTGCTCAGTAAAATCCTGACAGATCCACGTGTCACACACAAACAAGGTAAACACTGAACATATGATAAAGAGAGATTTTGCTACTTTTATTATTTCCTCGACCAGAGATTGACCAGAGAGAAAAACTATAAAGAGAGCAGAGAGAGAGACCAGAGAGAGACCAGAGAAGGACCAGAGAAGGACCAGAGAAAGACCAGAGAGAGACCAGAGAAGGACCAGAGAGAGACCAGAGAGAGACCAGAGAGAAATACTAGAATGAGATCAAAGAGAGAGACCGGAGAGAGACCAGAGAGAGACCAGAGATAAATACTAGTAAGATATCAAAGAGAGAGACCAGAGAGAGACCAGAGAAGGACCAGAGAGAGACCAGAGAGAGACCAGAGAGAAATACTAGTAAGATATCAAAGAGAGAGACCAGAGAGAGACCAGAGAGAGACCAGAGAGAAATACTAGAAAGAGATCAAAGAGAGAGACCAGAGAGAGACCAGAGAGAGACCAGAGAGAGACCAGAGAGAAATACTAGAAAGAGATCAAAGAGAGAGACCAGAGAGAGATCAGAGAAGGACCAGAGAGAGACCAGAAAGAGACCAGAGAGAAATACTAGAAAGAGACCAGAGAAAGACCAGAAGGACCAGAGAGAGACCAGAAAGAGACCAGAGAGAAATACTAGAAAGAGACCAGAGAAAGACCAGAAAGACCAGAGAGGGGGACACCAGAGAGATCAGAGAGAGACAGACCAGCGTGAGAGACCAGAGATATTTGTTCCCTTGGCAACTCATTAAAAGAAACTCTAATAAGAGACCGTTTCCCAATTTCAAGTGATCTTTTGTTTGTCTTTAGTCCCTTAAATAATTTACATAATTACAGTCTGTGCAATTTACTAATCGACCACAAATGTTCAGATTTCGATCCAATAGTGAAGAATCAGACCCCTTCTTTCTGAGGACACCCAAACCAGATAAACGTGTTTAGTGAACCTCCCAAACATCTGCACACATCTTATTATATCTTCTGTGCTGTTACCACGGAAACATGCAAATGACGCAGGCTGTGAAGAGGCGCTCCCATATGTACACACGAAGATGCGATTTTATGGAGCAATGATGAGGTTATAAAGAATGATGTGTTGTCTGTTTTGCAGTGGAGGGCTTCAGTAGGTGTTCGTCTGAATCAATCCAACTCTCTATAACTACTTTATGGCTATTTACCACCAAGTAGATCCGACAGTGTAATCTGATATAGGTCAATAAGAGTTTTATAGCCTTATCAAATGATCACGACTTCAGCGCATCACTAAACATCTCACTCCGGCGTCTACAGTGCCTGCGTCTGTGTGGTTACCATGGCAACAATACACGCTTCCTGCATTGGAAGTTAGCAAGGAACACACAATCCTCCATGAACTTTCTATGAGTAACAGCCAGAGCCAGCGTTACTCAATCAGCACGTCATATTGAGAGCCGCGATTAACCGTCATATTCATGATCCACACACAATAATGCAGCCCGGACCAGACCGGACAGGACCAGCACCAGCCCAAAGCGTCAGGAGCCTAAAACTCCTACATCTGTTTTGGCTCGTGCACAAAAGTTTGGCATACCCAAATGTCTTGGCTTATTTAAAAACACATCTTACATCTCACATGCTTGTGTGATGCATCATTTTAAAGCTAGGACCTTCTAGTTTATGTAAATATACACTGGAATAATGTGTGTCATTCCTATTTTACTCTGCATCCTTTGAAGTTTGGGAAAAAAAACCTGTTTTTTTTAGCCTCGCCTAAAAAATTCAATGTAACTGTGTAAAGTTTCAGACTTCTAAGTTTTATAGTTTTTATGCAGTTTCTCTTTTTTATCAAGTAGTGCCATTCGGAACCAATTTGGCAAATGGTGTGCCAAATTGTGCCAAACTGCTTTACTAACATTTCACCATTATAAAAAGCATATTTTTTAGTTTTGGTACTTATAAGTTACAAATCTGTGTGATTTTCTTTTACATTTTTTCAAAATTATTTTTCTAGTAGTGTAAATGCATATAAAATATGCGCAGCAGAACTAACAGGGTCTTTACGCACGCTTTTACTGTGAAAATGAAAAGAGTTCCTACAAGTCCCACCCATCAAAAGAAAGCTACTTACAAATGGGCGGCACGGTGGGTAGCACTCTCGCCTCTCAGCAAGAAGGTCCCCGTGTCTGCGTAGGTTTCCTCCGGGTACTCCGGTTTCCCCTACCACTAAAAATATGTACAATAGGTCTGGCATGCGCCTCCTGTTCGGCGACCCCGCTCCCATCTCTGTGAGGAGTGAGAGGACAAGTGCCCAAAAATAGCAATTGTAAACCGCTTTGTGACTCTGGTCTGTGAAAAGGCGGTATATAAATAAAGCTTACTTAGACACGTCAATCATTCAGTGCTAGCACATCGCGCTAGCCATGCTAATCAACAACAAGGGAAAAAGGACCCTGTGCAAGTGGATGCGGTTTGTCTTTTTCACAAGGGTCCTGCAGACTGAAACCTGCTCCTATCTTTTCATGGAACCTTTCTTTTTGAAGCTAAGGAACACGTGGATATGATGTTTGTGGGGCTAAACAAAGCTAAACAAAGCTCAAACTTGGTGAAATGTGAAAGAGAAGCCTGAACATTTTTCGGAGCGTTTTTTTTTGCAACAGAAAAATGCACATTTTTGGATTATTTCTGAAGAATGGATTATACTTACGGAGAGAATGAGACTGAGCAAGGATGGGGAAAGTCTAATTTGTTGGAACAGCAGAAGACGAAAGGTAAAAAACTTATACAAACACGATTTATTTTGTGCCCATATTATGCGTTATATCTTTTTAATGCAAAGTCTGATATCGTTGACAAAATAAGCTTTAAAATGATATATAGCAAAATACATCTGCTATTGCCAGCAGAAGTATTTTTTTCTCTTTTGCGAGCTTAAGAGGTTAAGAGTTACCGAGAAGAGTGAACAAGTCTCTTTATAGTCTCCAGAGAGAGAGACCAGAGAGAGACCAGAGAGAGACCAGCGAGAGACCAGAGAGAGACCAGAGAGAGACCAGAGAGAGACCATACAGTAGTGATGGGTCCAGCAACACTGATGTGCCGAGTTCGTTTATCGAAATCTCGTATCCGCGCGCGTGTCGCTTTATGAAAAAGCCACGTGACCGATACAGCCGCAGTGTCGCTTGTCACCGACACGGAAAACTGTGTTTAAAAGGTTCCGCATCTGCAAGTGTCACCGGGATGAACCGCTCTCGGAAAAAGAAAATAACCCTTTCAAAAAGGAAAAACATCCCATTTTACAGCATCAAAATGGAACCTGCCACTAAAAGAAAGTATTCTGCAGTGTGATATAGCAAATAACAGCAAATAAGGCAATGTTTGTATTTTACATTTCACGCTTTATCTACAATCAAGATTTAGTTTGAAACGAAAAATCTAGTTAGGCATGGTGGATGAGTGGATAACGCTCTCACCTCGCGTTTGAGAGAACCGGGTACGAATCCCAGTCGGACCTCAAAAGTTTAAGTTGACATCACAGTCCTGAAGAATGATTTCGAGAAATTTAAGTGTAGAAAATGTCAAAGGTTTTTTCAAGTATACTTTAGTTGCCAGGGTTTACAGTGCACTTTGGACATGCTTATTGTTTTGAAAAAAATAATATATATATATATATATATATATATATATATATATATATATATATATATATATATATATATATATAAAATCACTCAATGACATTTTGCTTAATGAATACATTCATAACTATAACTTTAATGTTCACATAAAAATAAAATAATAACACAGACAATGCAGTTACGTAATATTGTGAACAGACAAGTATGTAAAGCTCATTGAATCAGTTAGTTGGATGCAATGATTTATCAGATCCACCAGGCGTCAGTATAGAGCAGCACAAGCAAGACTTTTGCGGTATCAATACAGTTCGTTGGATGTGCCGAAACGATACGTGAGGTTTAATTTACCCATCACTACCATACAGAGACCAGAGAGAGACCAAAGAGAGAGGGATCAAAGAGCAATTAGAGTGATAAATCAGAGAGAGAGAGCCTAGAGAGAGACTACAGAGAAATATCAGAGAGCAATCAGAGTAAGAGAGACCAGAGCCAGACAGAGAGAAAGACCAGAGAGAGAGACTAGAGCTACTTCACTTACCTGTAAACAGCTCTGTGCGTTTGCTCGCGCTCCTCTCCGTTTATCAAACAAGAAAACAGCCCGAATGATTCTGCACCTGAAAAACACAGCTTCATATTATCAACACACACATGTATTTATGAAACCACAAAGTCAATTACTCCAGCTTTAAATACTCTCGGTCTTTATGATTAACGCCGTAGTCCAACTTTACTCCTGGTTGTTTGTAAATCAGCTGAGCTCCTCTTCGGGATCTAATGCAGTGAGACAGAATGAGACCAGGGCTCAGCTGGAGACCACACTGAGCCCTCAGACTCACGCCCTGAACGTCAGACAGGGATCGTTCAAGTATCAGGGCAATGTCATGAAACCAGAGAGAGACCAGAGAGACAGAGAGACCATAAAGAGACTTTGAGAGAGACCAGAGAGAGAGATGAGAGAGAGACCATAAATATACCAGAGAGAGAGACTAGAGAGAAAGGCAAGAGAGAGACTATACCAGACCAGAAAGAGAAACCCAGAGAGATAGACCAGAGAAAGTCTAGAGAGAGAGAGACTTTGAGAGAGAGGGACCAGAGATATACCAGAGAGAGACTAGAGAGAGGCAGAGAGACGAGATACCAGACCAGAGAGAGAAACCCAGAGCGATAGACCAGAGAGTTTAGAGAGAGACCAGAGAGAGACTAGAGAGAGAACAGATACTAGATAGTTCAAACAGTGTCAGGACGATGTAACGAAACCATCTAATCCAGAGAAGAGCATTTGGATCAAAGGGATACGGTTCAAAACGTATGTTCAAATACGTTAATTACCTTTTATTGAAGCAGGAGTGTCCCAATGAGATTTGGGGCCAGGACAGAGAGGAGCTATTGTACTGTGTTTTCAGTGGTAGGACAAACAGGAGCACCCAGAGAAAACCTACAGTGGTGGTACAGTCTCTCTGGTCTATCTCTCTCTCTAGTCCCTCTCTCTGGTCTATCTCTGGTCTCTCTCTCTCTCTGGCCTCTCTCTCTGGTCTCTCTCTCTCTGGTCTCTCTCTCTCTGGTCTCTCTCTGGTCTCTCTCTGGTCTCTCTCTGGTCTCTCTCTGGTCTCTCTCTGGTCTCTCTCTGGTCTCTCTCTGGTCTCTCTCTGGTCTCTCTCTCTGGTCTCTCCTTCTGGTCTCTCCTTCTGGTCTCTCCCTCTGTCCTCTCTCTCTGTCCTCTCTCTCTGGTCTCCCTCTGGTCTCTCCCTCTGGTCTCTATCTGGTCTCTCCCTAGTGTCTTCCTCTGGTCTCTCTCTCTCTCTCTCTCTCTCTCTCTCTCTCTCTCTCTCTGGTCTATCTCTGGTTGTTGTGCATTATTCAACCCTTTTTAGTTTAGGCTGGTAGAAAAAAATAAAAAATAAAATGAACTCTTCAGTTTCCTTAAACCGCTTCTGAATTGGAACTTGTGGCCTCCCTGTCCAATATGACAGTTGTGTTGCGTTCAGTCCAAGATGGTGGGCAGTGCTGCGCCTCGGGTGCAGGTGCATTTGTTGAGTTTGGGTTCTTTTGAGTTTGGCCTCTTGCTACTTCTATACTCTTTGAGCTGGTGTTAGCCGGGCTAGCTAATATAAGAAATATCTGGCACAAACATGTTTCTCCGCCTTCTGTCTGATATGATGTCATTGTACCTCTATGACATCACACTCAGAGCCGTTTTCTGCCTTTACAACATACTGCGCCAAAATCAGTTTTGGGGAAGTACTTGTAAAATCGAAGTCTCAACCTGAAGGTCGTGGGTTCAATTCCCACCTTGACACCTTCTCCACCGACTCCCACTGATGTGTGCTGTCGTTGTGTCCTTGGGCAAGACACTTAACCCCACTTTGCCCAAAGCCCCCGCTGAGAGATCACCTATGCTCACATTGACAGAGCAGCCGTCCTCCTGTGGACTCACCACCTGCAGAGGGTCAGTGAGGGGCAGGTGCTCTGTGACTTGGGTGGCATCTCTGACTGCCACCCCCGACCCAGAAATGGATTAAGGGGTAGAAAATGGATGGATGGACTTGTAAAATTGATTTTAATAATAATAACAAGTCTCTTGATTGTCTCCAGAGAGAGACCAGAGAGAGACCAGAGAGAGACCAGAGAGAGACCAGAGAGAGACCAGAGAGAGACCAGAGAGAGACCAGAGAGAGACCAGAGAGACCGACCAGCGAGAGACCGACCAGCGAGAGACCAGCGAGAGACCAGCGAGAGACCAGCGAGAGACCAGCGAGAGACCAGAGAGAGACCAGAGAGAGGGAGACCAGAGAGAGTTTTGGGGAATTACTTATAAAATCGATGTTCTCAATAATAATAATAATAAATCCAAACAGGTGGTACTCACTTGAAGAGCTCGATCGTCCATTGAGGAAAACATTGAGAAACTTTTTGGAGAAGTGCAGATCTCCGTCCGTGGAGGAGTCGTCCGACAGACACGCGGTCCCCTCTCTCCTGACTCCGCCCACTCGCGCCCCGTCCACCTCCTCGTCCTCGTACTCCTCCTCGCCCAGAGCCGACTCGTACGGCGGCGACACGCAGTTGTCGTACACCGTGGCCGAGTCGCTGTCGTCGCTGTAACCCTGGTAACACTGCCGCAAGCTCACCAACTCCAGCTGCGCGTGCTCGTCCACCACCAGAGTGTACTTCACCGAATCGTACGTCAAACCGCGCGCCTCGGAGCTCAGGGAAGTCCTTAGCGTCGTCGTGGGCAACAACGCGAGCTCTTCGTTGCTCTTGCGCCTGCCGTCCTCCATCGTCATCACCATCTCGTCCTCGTCCTCCTCCTCGCAGTAGCTGTCGTCCGTCGCGTCCACGTACTCCACGGACGATCCCGCTCTGAAGATGCCGAGCGCCGATGACGTTTTGAGGCTGAGGTCCAGGCCGTGTGTGGCGGAGCGCGGCGGCGTGATCAGAGACTCCACGCAGGAGGCGTAAGAAGGAGGCGGAGCGTAGATCTCGTCCTCCTCGAAGATGCACTGGTCGGTTCTGTGGGTCAGAAGTAAACACTGGTCATGTGACGAAGGTTTTGAGCCAAAATATCTACTTTTATCATCTCCTAAGAGACCACAAACCAGAGAGAGACCTGCAAGAGAGACCAGCAAAAGAGACCAGAGACAGACCAGAAAGAGAGAGAAAGAGAGAAACTAGAAACACTTGTTCCATTGACAATTCTTGAAACTAAACTCAAATCAATGGACATTTTCCCAAATTCTAGTGATTTTTTACTTTTCTTGTTTTAGTTGGTGGTGGTCGGCGGGGCTGATGGCACATACTGGTTGCCTCACTTCTGTCAGTGTGCCCCAGGGCAGCTGTGGCTTCAGTAGTATGGAGTGAAAGAATAATGACTGAATGTAGAGCATCTTTGAATGTCCAAAAGAGGACACTATATAAACATATGCATTATTATTATTTTATTTGATATCTTTGTTATGCTAAAGTTAGAGATTTTATTGTTCTCTTCTTGTGCTGTGTGTTCCTCATTCCTACAGATCAATGATTTTAATGCTTATTTTTTTCAGCACTTTGAGTTGCCTTGTGTATGAATTGTGCTATACAAATAAACTTGCCTTGCCTTACAGTCCTGTAACTGGTGATGCTGCAACACTGAAATGTCCCCACTGTGGAACGAATAAAGAATCTCTTCATCTTAATAATCATAATAATAGTTATTATTATTATTTCTCATTATTATGATGGTGATAATTGTGTGACAATATATCGATACAGTGATGTATCGTGATACTTTCTCAAGCAATTGATTATCGATATACTTTTTGATACTAAGTATCAATTTTTCTTTTTTTTTAAACTTTATTTGAAAAAAAAAATTAAGTATTGATACTTGATATATGGCTATATTACGCATTCTACAATTTCTGTAGAATGTTGAGATTGATTTTATTTGATGTGAAACAGATTAAGTAAGATTTTTACTAAAATGTGCAGGTTAAAAGGCATTTTTGTTACACGACGCTTTGTCCATTTATCTTGAAATAAAGTGTATTTTTCACTTAATTTATGCCATAAATATAAGAAAAATATTATCATAGGTATATTTTGACCAATATATGGATGATCGCTGCATCGTTCTATCGTGAGATAATTGTTATTGTGAGCTTTGTATCGCACATCGTATCGTATCGTGGGTTAGCCTGAGGGTCCCACCCCTAGTGATGATGATGATTATTAATAGTAGTCGTGAACCTGTCAGGCAGTGGCTGGTACGGCGGCGGCCCCTCAGTGTCCGAGCTTATGGACATGCGGCCTTGCTCCGTCTGCTGCGCCAGGAAGGGGCGGTCCGGCGCGGCGGAGTCCAGCACGGCATCGGAGGAGGAGCGGCGAACGGGGGTGAGGTAGATCTCCTCGGTGGGGGGCTCGGCAGAGGCCTTGCTGCTGGGGTAGAGGGGGGCCGGGGTGTAGTTCTGGGGAGGTGGAGGAGGAGGCGGCGCGGGGACCTTGTCTTTGGAGCGCGTGGAGGAGGACGAGGCGCTGTGGTGGTGTCGGCACGGCGCGTCGGTGGAAGTGCCGCGGTCTTTGGTCTGCGCCGACTGGACTTTATCCTCGTCGCTCAGGCAGCTGTGCTCTCGGGGAGGGGTCCGCTCACCTGGAACAGCAGAGACACAAATGTTGTTCAATTTATTTATGTACAAAGTCTATACATGCATTCAATTTAAATCATAACAATCAAACCTAATTATGAAATGAAAGAGAGACCATAGACCAGATAGAGACCAGAGAGAGACCAGAGAGAGACCAGTGATAAACCAGAGAAAGACCACAGAGATTGGAGAGCAGAGAAAGACTGGCGAGAGACCAGACAGACCAGAGAGACCGGAGAGAGAACAGACAGACCAGAGGGAGAACAGAGAGAAACTAAACAAAAACTGCTATAAAGTTCCACATCCTCTTTGTCAGCGCTAATCAACTACGGTCACTCTCTGATCTCCCTCTCTCTGGTCTCTCTCTCTCTCTCTCTCTCTTCTGGAATTATTTACTCAAAGACAAATTAACGTATATGGCTGGGATGAACCATGAACTGTACATTAGGAGTGGACTGACCAAGTGTGACATCACCATAGAGTTAGCCTTAACCAAGCCCCGGTGATCCAAGATGGCGCCCTATTCAAATGAATGGCTTGTACTCAGTAGCGCATGGGACTTCACGGGGACCGGGAGATTAGAACTCGCCTATATTTGGGCATCGTCTGGTCCTCCCGGTTCTGCGCAGTGGACGAGCTCCCATGATGCGTTGCGCCAAACGTGCGCGTGTGTGGCTCTCATGCACGTGCACAGAGGGGCTCAGCCACGCTTCGACCAATCAGAGTTGCTGATCTGAGCAGCGGCAGAGCGGAGTCAGAGCGGGAAGGAAACGAGCAGAGTTTGTGGCAGTAAAGTGTGGATTTAAAGAAAACAAAAAATTTAAGAAAAAAAAAAAGCTCTGGATGACAAGGAACACTAAAATCCCCAAAAAATCCGACCTTTATGAAAGCTGTAGGTTCTCTGCCAGCTGAGGTCGAGCTGTTTTAATTGACATTGAGTAAACACATCACTCCGGATTATAGCCATGGGATAATTTTCATCCGTTGTCCCACATTCGCACTCTCAAACTCACACTCATTCACCCTGAACTATTGCACATATTTTTAGTGGTAGGGGAAACCTACGCAGACACGTGGAGAACATGCAAACTCCACTCAGGAAGGCCCTGTTCCGACCGGGTTTTGAAACCAGGACCTTCTTGCTGAGAAAAAAAAATAACAATTGTAAACCGCTTTGTGACTCTGGTCTGTGAAAGGCGGTATATAAATAAAGCTTACTTACTTACTTACTTACTGAGAAGCAAGAGGGCTATCCACTCAGCCACCTTGCCGCCCAAAGGTGGATGTGTTCTCTTATATAGGTTTTTGTTAGCATTGAGCCGTAACAGGCAGCAGAAAGCTAGTGTTTACCTTACGAATTAAGGTATCTGATTGGTCAATCCTTATATGGCCTATTGCCGTATTTACAAAAACCATATCATAATATAAACGCCAGGATCACAGACAGCACTAAACCACAGATTGTCTAAACCCAGAATGGTGAATGTGACGCAAACAGTTTCGGAGCAAGAAGAGTTTACTTTTACATGTAAGTCAATAGGAGCCAGAGTGAGTTGGAGCAAAACTTTGGGTTAGCACTTCTATGTTGGGCTTCAGTGAGCTGACAGGGCATTGTCCATCTGTATGAAGGCTATGGTGCAAACGGCGAGATGAATGAAAACCACAGACATCATGTGTGATGGTTGAGTAATTCTGATTACTCGTCATAATTTCTCAAACTCTGGGTTACATCGCAGACTTTCAAAAACCCAGGAGGAATAAACAGATACATACAGTAAATCTGGAGCAGACATACAAGCAGATGGAGTGCAGGAGACAAGGCCGATCAGCAGACGGTATCTAACACTTAAATACAACAGATTATCATCGTTATGTTTTTGAGACCACATGTGTCCATGTCACTTTAACCCAGAGCCTCATGATGCTAACATGTCCAGTAGTATCACATGCTAACAGGTACAGTAGTATCACATGCTAACACGTACAGTGTACTGCTTTGTGCTGTAACGTGGTTTTGTAAGGCATTTGGTCTTGAGTAATATTTTACTCAGTACAAAAGTCAGAAACATGGGTTACATTGAATTTTAACTAAATTAAATTGTGTTTTGTTTTATACAAGATCAGAAACACTATGCTAACTGCCGAGGAGTGTTTTCCTTTCTGGTAGAAGATGGCTGAAGCTGAAGCAGCACAAAATGAAAAGTAGTGTTAGAAGCAAAACGTTTTAAAGCCAGAAACTACACTGACACGAATTTTACTACAGACCATAGTTACATTTGTGGTTTGAAAGTTGCAGACCCCTTCTTCAAAAAACAACCTTAATCAGAAATAATATTTGTTCATAGTTAGTATGTGTTGACTTAAAACATGTGGATGTTTTTGTGGATTGAGATTATTACCATAAAAATACCAAATATTTCCATAGTAACCAAGATTTCTATTCGGCTGCCCTGTACCACAATGTTAAAAGTATAGGCTCTTTGGAACGTTGTGATGTCACATGAACGCAACCCATTACAGCGCAATGGTAGTGTTATGAAACCTTTGCCATGTCCACAGTTGTCCCTGTCTCTGTAACCGTCTCACGCCTCCTCCCCCCGGCGAAGTTTCACTGATCTGGGGTCGGCAGAGTGTTTCGTTTGGCTCGACGCGACTTTTAAGCAGCAGAAGAGACAGCAAAGCCCAGAGCGGCGAGTCCTGCTCTCAGTCCATTACATAACACTGCCTCTGGACTCAGCTGAGACAGAAATGCTCGGGTATAAGGAAGACGGCATCAGATAAAGCCTTCAGTTTAAAGAGTATTCTTCAATTCAATATATTTGTGTACAGCGCTAAATCACAGCAGTCGCCTCGGAGATCTTTACAAAGTTGTCAATACACCACAACACAGGACATGCAACTTATAACAAACACAGAGGAGCCATTGGTCCATAAGAGGCGGATGGTTAATGTCCTTAAATGTCAACAAATGTCCTTAAATGTCTTGGATTATCACCACTATCCTTAGACCTACTATCCCTCCCCGGCAAGGAACTACTTCCAAAGTGGGAAAAAGTGAGAAACCTCAGAAAGGCCCAACACGAGAGAGGATCTGCTCCCACGGACGAACGGGCTGTAGATCCAGGACACAGGCAGTAGAACGAGGACCGAGGCCATTCTTGTTAGCCCCCAAAGTCTCCAGCACCGAGGCCCCTCAATCAATCAAATGTCCCTCAGTGGCCCCTTGTAAAAACACACCCTCTGTCTGAGCCTGATGGTGATGTCACATCCTTAGTACACATTAAGATTTCTCCACAAACCACAAGTTGAGTTTTCTTTCTATCGCATTTGTCTGATTCATTATGTACATCTTCTGACCTTTATTATCACAAGTTTATACTGACTGTGTGTATGCAGAAGTGAACTCTGGCCACTAGGGGTCAATGAGCCAACTCACCCTGTTTGATGTCATAACTAATGAAAGAAAATATGCTATAATCAAAAGAATTTCCCCCATTGACGGAAACAACAGACAGTGGAACATGTGCTGAAGCTGAAAAGATAAGATCTACTTTATTGATCTCACAATGGAGAAATTCAAAAAAATATGACATCTCCATGAACTTCACTGTCTAGACAGTTTGTGAGGATTGATAAAGTACATGACAAATTTAACACACACGCAATCAATTCCAATGATATCTCAACTCATTCAATAAGGAGTAGAAATATAACACATATTTTTCTGTTTAAAGACAGAACAAGCACTTTGTTGCTTGTATGAACACATGAGATCTTGTGACTGTAGCTGCAGAGACAGAAGAGCAGGATCTACAGACACTGGGGAGAAATCTTCATACTTCTGCATTATCTTTCATCTCCAGTTCTTTTTCTGCACCAATCTAAAAGGACACGCCCAGCACTTTGAGAACCACTGATCTATGTCAAACATATATATATGACTCTTTCTCTTCGGTCTCACTCTCTGGTCTCACTCTCTGGTCTCACTCTCTGGTCTCACTCTCTGGTCTCACTCTCTGGTCTCACTCTCTGGTCTCACTCTCTGGTCTCACTCTCTGGTCTCGCTCTCTGGTCTCGCTCTCTGGTCTCGCTCTCTGGTCTCGCTCTCTGGTCTCACTCTCTGGTCTCACTCTCTGGTCTCACACTCTGGTCTCGCTCTCTGGTCTCACTCTCTGGTCTCACTCTCTGGTCTCACTCTCTGGTCTCACACTCTGGTCTCACACTCTGGTCTCACACTCTGGTCTCACACTCTGGTCTCACACTCTGGTCTCACACTCTGGTCTCACACTCTGGTCTCACACTCTGGTCTCACACTCTGGTCTCACACTCTGGTCTCACACTCTGGTCTCACACTCTGGTCTCACACTCTGGTCTCACTATCTGGTCTCTCTCACTGGTCTTTCTTTGGTCTGATCCATGGCATAGAAATACACGCATACACAGTAGAGATTTCTGTTTTAACTAGGGACTTAATAGAGACATGAAGACTCGGACTCACCAGTTTTCTGCGGAGACCCCGACACTTTCTCCTGCCAGCTGAACTTCTTCCCAAACGAGTTGTTGTTCAGAGTGTCCTACGAGAAAAGCAGAAAGAGGAAGAACAGGACTCATGAGAGGAGCAGACAGAGGAGGAACAGGACTCATGCACGTAAAAAGTAATGAAAAATAAGCCAAAAGAGCTCATTTGGACTGCCTTAAAACAAGATTTGCCAAAGGGACAAGCAAAGGGACAATCGGCAAATCTTCTTTTAACACAGTCAAAAATGCTAGATTCAAGCATTTTTTGTGGTGAAGAGCAGCAATAGGAGGAACATGACTGAGGCAGCGTCAGGACTCACGAGAAAGGTCCGCCCAGAGAGACGCTCGCTCCAGTGGGACTGAGCAGAACTGAGCGCCACATAAGCCTTCTATTCACCACAGCTTTTGTTCTGGTCGTGGGAAGAATCTAAAGGGAACTGGAAACTTTTCAAACTCAGTCACCTCACAGGGCGACGGAAATAGAATGTTCTAAAAAAGACTTGTCACGTTGGTTTTCACCGCGTTTGAGAGATTGTGTTTGTGTTAAAAGCGTTTAACACAAGAACTCCCAGAGCAGTCAAGATGACGGCTTTGAGTCGTGGAAGCGTACTGACTTATATACGTCTTTGAGTTGGCTTGTGTATGAACTGTGCTATACATATAAACTTGCCTTACATCAGGCATGTCCAAACTCAGGCCGATGGGCCAAATGCGGTCCTCAGTGTCATTGTATGTGGCCCTCTGCCTTGCTAACCCAAAGTAGTCTTGGAGATCATAAACACAAGTTCACTGTGTTCCATCCAACTTCAGCTCAGCCAATATACATTATAGACCTTGTTCTAAAGCACAGTATGTCGCTGGCTTTATTTGCACATATTGTGGTTTTTCATTGTGTCACTTCTGTTAATGGTGCTACTGTAGCTAGTGAGATGGTAAACATTTGTCATTCAGCCAACTTCAGCTCAGTTATAGATCATCATAAAACTCAGAACAGCCCGATGCCAGTCAAGACAGCTTTTCAGTCTGTGATGTCGGCCCCAGGACTAGTCTGGTGAACTAAAGTGGACCTCTTATTTATGTAGTTTCTTTCTATGTCATCATTATTATGAAATTGATTTCAAATTACCGGTCGCCTGCAGTGAATGGCACCATGAGCTTTTCCAGTGTCTCTGAGTTTGCAGCGCGATCGCACTCTGTGTCCAAGCTCAGTTTTTGGAGAGTCTTTTGGGTCTTTTGGATTCTCTAAGATGGAATAGCACGAATAACACAAGTAATTTGTTTTTAAGTTTTGTTTTTTGAACCCCTAGTTTGTATTATTATAGGCCTTTACCAAATGGTTGAGGTTCAGTTTGATGGTAGAAGTTCCTAAAACCAAGTGAGATGCCCCAAAGAGGAAGATTTCAGGGTTTCCATAGAAATACCAAAAATGGCTACATATGGATTTTACATTGAAATTAATGTTCAATGATTGTACTCCTATGGCCTCTCTCCCTCTGGTCTCTCCCTCTCTGGCCTCTCTCTGGCCCCCCTCTCTGGTCTCTCTATATAGTCTCTCTCGCTGGTCTCCGTCTCTGTCTCCGTCTCTGGTCTCCGTCTCTGGTCTCCGTCTCTGGTCTCCGTCTCTGGTCTCCGTCTCTCTGGTCTCCCTCTCTCTGGTCTCCCTCTCTCTGGTCTCCCTCTCTCTGGTCTCCCTCTCTGGTCTCTCTCTCTGGTCTCTCTGGTCTCTCTCTCGGGTCTCTCTCTCGGGTCTCTCTCTCGGGTCTCCGTCTCTGGTCTCTCTCTCTGGTCTCCGACTCTGGTCTCTCTCTCTGGTCTCTCTCTCTGGTCTCCGACTCTGGTCTCCCTCTCTCTGGTCTCTCCGTCTCTGGTCTCTCTCTCTGGTCTCTCTCTCTGGTCTCTCTGGTCTCTCTCTCTGGTTTCTCTCTGGTCAAGGGAGACTGGGAGCAAAAAATCCTCTGACGAAGACGAGTCTGAAATAAGTGTGAGTCATGGGCGACGTGAGAGCGTTGCCATAGAAACACTGACTCGACAGCATCAGAGAGGAGTGGTGCGTTGTGGGTAAACAGCTGCATTCGTCACAACATCCGACGGTGAAGTGGAACTAAGACAGTGATCATCATATACATCCCAACTTAGATTCAAACGGCTGTGTTTTTGTCTGTATTTCAATAGGAGCCAAATCAACTTTGAGAGAACAACACATTTTTTGAAAGAAATGTATTATATTCTATGTTTCTAATGAATTTTAATCCGTAGCACTTTGAGGTTTTGTGGAAAAAATGCATTATTATTATTATCATTATCAAAAAGAAAATGTCCTGTAGTTTCCCCAGCTCATTATTTGACAGTGATTGGATTCACAAAGAGCTTAAATTATCCATGTGTCGGAAAGTTCTTTCTCCGGGACAACATCATGCAGAGAGAGACCAGAGGGACACCAGAGAGAGAGACCAGAGACACTAGAGAGAGAGAGAGGGAAACCAGAGAGAGACTAGAGAGAGAGTAAAGTGAGAGAGACCAAAGGAAGACAGAGGGACCAGAGAGAGAGCAAAGAGAGTGACCTGAGAGGGACACTAGAGAGAGAGACCAGAGAGACTAGAGAGAGAGAGACCAAAGGAAGACCAGAGAGAGATGAAAGAGAGACCAGAAAGAAAGATGAGAGAGTGAGAGGGAGACGCACACACACACACACACACACACACACACACACACACACACACACACACACACACAGACTGACACACACAAGACTCATTCTAGGTAATGTGTGTCTTGCCAAAGGACACAACAACAGTTCAGCAATTTAAAGCCGCAACCGCCCCACTGTGGCACCCGGCGTTCCCATCACACTGCTAACCAGGCCCTGCTCTGCTTAGCTTCAGAAGCCTGTGACGGGATCTGGCTTTCACCTGCAGTTTTATTTTGAGACCGCACATAGTCCTTCATATAAATTATCTAAGAATAAAAAAGATTAAATCCGTGTCTTCAAAACAAATATCCAGGTCAAATATATCTGCACATATAAAACTGCTCTTGTCTCTGATGTGATGTTTCCGCTCGAAGGATCGGAGTCTCACAATGACACGGTTATGTCACTTCTTTATTATGTAAGACAAGTTTATCCTGCCTCTGTGAGCTCACACCAGCGCCACATGTGCCCTGGGGCAGACTGAGGGAACAGGAGCAAACCGAACGATGTCAATGGCCTTTTGAAGCACCACACCGGAGAAAGAACCCAGAGGCTACAGCAGTTGCCATTGCTGCCATTTTCAGAATCTGTTTTAATCACCTTTCATACATTTGAATGCCTTTTATATTGATTGAACTATTTTTACATACTTTTACATCAAGCTCTTTTGTTAGTATTTCAGCAGGTGCTAATACAACTCTACTAGAAAGATAGACCAGATGGAGACCAGAGAGAGACCAGAGAGAGACATCAGAGAGAGACCAGAGATAGGCCAAAGATAGAGACCAGAGAGAGACAAGAGAGCCACCAGAAAGAGAGACCAGAGAGACCAAAGAGCCACCAGAGAGAGAGACCAGAGAAAGACACCAGAGAGCGACCAGAGAGAGACCAGAGAGAGAGACCAGAGAGAGACCAGAGAGAGAGACCAGAGAGAACACTTATTTTTACAATGTGCAAAAGATAACATGTTTTCTAATAAGATCAAAGACAACCTATTTGTACAATATGGTGTGTGTGTGTGTGTGTTGGGTCAATCTCAAAGTATTATTTCTGAATGTGTGCATAAAAACACTGGTATTGTTATACTGGTATAAATTGGTATATACTGGTATGTACTGGTATATACTGGTATGTACTGGTATTGCTGCTGACACTGCTGTGTAAGTAAGTGTGGTTTTATACTGTCACATGTTCGACAGCAGCTCACAGTGAGACCAGCGCCGAAAGGAAAAAGGACAATTTCCCTTTTGTTCCAACAGTGAAAACATCCAGAGACGGATTCAGCTGGATCCGCTCTGACCTCAGCTTTCATTACTGCTTTTTCATCCCTGTCACAATAACTCATTTGGATGCTCGATACATGGATTCACAATGCTTTTGAGATAAAACAATTCAAACCAATGCATCTCAAGACATTCTAATTTGTTCATTCATTTGATCAAAAAAATATTATTTAGTCGTATTGAACCATAGACTGTATACAGATGGACAATGCTAACCCGCTAGCTCCAGGGCAAAACATTGCATTTGGCAATACAGTAGATAAATTAAATCTCTTTAACAGCGAGACAGTTTCCTTTATTGAAAGTCAAATTAAAACTTTTGTGGCGTGTGTGCATCGTTGTTATTAGTTCTGAGAACTCTTTCTCTAATCTCTGGTCTCTCTCTCTCTCTCTTAAAACACATATAACTTCATGGAACCATCAACATCTTGCCTCATATTGCATTAAAAGTGACATCCGAGTCTTAAAGTGATAGTCTGGAACTCAAAATAAATTAAATTTTTTAAGAATTGTGTTAAATTGACCTCCTGGCCTTAAAAGTTGACATAAAATAAGTAATTTTATAAATTCCAATATTACGGGTAAGTCCCGCCTTCCCTTCTCTTAGGTATAGCTCAGAATCCACGATGCCGATCCTCTGCAGATGTGTCCTATAATGTTCAAGACACGCTTGAGAAGGCGGTGCAAACCCGACGTAGCACTGGCGATCCTGATTGGCCGATTATTTTTTGATCTGCTGAAGGAGTTTGGTATGCTCTCGATACCAGACCCATGTGGTTCAGCCAATGGCGGAACTACAAGGCTCTGGCGAGAGTCAGGCTAGGGTTTTACAGCCTTCAAACATAAAGCTGCAGATTTTTGTTATTGTTTGTGGGTAATTTCTGGAAGACATCACCCCTGTGTTAAACCAGGGACCACAGGACATGGCAAAACATAGTGAAATAATAAGTGTAAAATGCTTGAATACAGAGATTTTGATTCGAGTGCATTTAGAGTTTCATAATACAAGATTTGCCAACAGGACAAGCAGCTTTGTTTCAAGCTCATTAGCAGGTTTTTTTCAATCAAAGAGCTTTTCGTTTGTGTCCAAATGGAAAATCTCAATCTAAATGTTGTCTCGTGACGGAAACTTTAGTGTAATTCAATCAGAAAACACATTTTTGTTATTTCTGCAGTTCACACTCATCTAATCTCATGTACATTTCATATACTGTCTCTCTCTGGTCTCATTTTGGTCTCCCTCTGGTCTCCCTCTCTAGTCTATATCTCTCTGGTCTCCCTTTGGTCTCTCTCTGGTCTCTCTCTCTAGTCTATCTCTCTCTGGTCTCTCTCTGGTCCCTCTTTCTGGCCTCTTTCTGGTCTCTCTTTCTGGTCTCTCTCTCTCTCTGGTTTCTTACTGGCATCTCTCTGGTCTCTTTTTCTGGTCTCTCTCTCTCTCTGATCTTTCTCTCTGGTTTCTCTCTCTCTCTGGTCTTCTGGTCTCTCTCTGGTCTTTCTCTCTCTGCTCTTCGGGTCTCTCTCCCTCTGGTCTCTCTCTCTCTCTGATCTCTCTCTCTCTGATCTCTCTCTCGGGTCTCTCTCTCGGGTCTCTCTCTCTGGTCTCTCTCTCTCTGATCTCTCTCTCTGATCTCTCCCTCTGGTCTCTTTCTCTCTGGTCTCTCTCTCTCTCTGGTCTCTCTCTCTGGTCTCTCTCTCTGGTCTCTCTCTCTGGTCTCTCTCTGGTCTTTCTCTCTGGTCTCTCTCAGCTGTAGCTCACTCCTGTCCTGGACTGAATGGGACTCATTGGCGCTGCAATAAAAGCACATGAAGCAAAACCCACTTCACCACCACAGACTGTACACTGGACAATGCTAACCAGCTCAACGAAGCCCAATAGAGAAGTGCTCATGGATGAAGTTTTGCTCCAACTCGCTCTGGCTCCTATTGACATGCATTGAAAAGTAAACTCCTGTAGCTCACTGACTGTCTGTGTCACACTTGTCATTTTGGGCTAAAAAATATGTGTTTTAGTGCTCTCTGTGATCCTGGTGTTTCCATTGTGATTTTGTATTTGTGAATCCAGATATGAGCCATATAAGGATTGACAATCAGATGCCTTCATATATATATATACGGGGGGGAACTCCAGCTTGCCTTAGTAATTGTCTAAGTAATATGCCCCTAGTGCCCATATAAGGAAATTGGCTCCAGCTGTTCAAATTGGCTTCTCCCATTATGGTGATGTCACACTCGGTCAGTCCACTCCTCATATAATCTCGATGGTTAACTACAGCAAAATAGTACCAGTAATTGTATTTGTTTGAGTAACTAATTCCAAGAAATCTGCCATTGAGAGTTTCACCTTTTTTTCTTATAGTTGGGGTACTTGACTTTTAAACCACAAAAAACTCACAATGCAATAAAAATCATGTCTAGTTTGTGCTTCTAAAAAAGTTTGCTTCTAAAAGTAGTTTTCAAGTCATGTTTGCATCCGTCACAGCTTTTTCACAAAAGTAAAAACAGAGAGGACCACCCTCACTCTGAGAGCTGAGTGAGGGTGGTCCTCTCTGTTTTTACTTTGCCCAAAGAGTCAAATAATTAACAGATATTCTTCATGGAAAAAAATGTAAGAACTCCAGCTTAAATATCACTTACTTTAATCAAGGGCAATGATTCTACAAGACACTTTTAGTCTTGTAGAAACAATACAGGTGAACCTTGGAAAATTTGAATATTCTTCAAAAGTCCATTTACTTCTGTGATTCCTCTTAATGGGAGACTAGTATATGACAGATTCATTACAGCACAGGGGGAATGATCAAGCCTTTATCTGGTATAATGTTTATCAATTGCTCATAGTAAAAACTCAAACTAAAACATCTAAAAAAAAAATGCATTTATGGACTGGCCTTCTCAGTTCTGTACAGAAGAATAATTTCCTGAGTCCTGGATCTACAGCCTCAGTCCTGGATCTACAGCCTCAGTTCTGGGTCTATAGCCTCAGTCCTGGTTTAGGAGTGTCTAAGGACAGTTATGATCCAAGATATTTTACATTTAAGGACATTTATTACATCTCTGGACAGTGGTCAGCCGCTCCTCTGGACCAATGGTTCATAGGTGTTTGTTATTGTTGCATTTCCTGTGGTAGAAAAGTCCTGCAAGACGACTGTTGTTGCCATTTTGAACTGAATTGAATAAGGCCACTAATTATAATAAACAGAGGCGTTACATTGTTAGAATGGGTCTATATCATATATAAAGTTAGAGATTTTACACTTGCTTCTTTATTATGTCAAAGTTAGATATTTTATATTATTTTAGTACAGAGTTATTGTTCACTTGTCTTGTGTGCTCCTCATTCATACTTTTCTGTAATTGGTGACAACACTGAAAAGTCCCAACTGTGGGACAAATTAATATCTCTTAATCTTAATCTTTAATCTCTAATCTTCAAGTTAAATTACAGAAACAAAACAAACTTGTGAACGAAGTTTTCACCTGTAGTGAAAACACCTGCTTTATCCCCCTTGAGAATAAAGCCACAATGACTTAACTCCCACACTCACCTGTGTGCGGGGGACGATGGAGATCAGGGCGAGCGTGGTGGGTCTCTTAGGCCGGTACGTATCCATGGTAACAGGTGGCAGCAGCGGCGGCGTGGCAGTGGTCTCCCTGGACGACGAGGCTCTGGGAGGGTCCAGTCGCTCTGGTCCTCCGTCGATCAGCTCCATGTGAAGCATCTCCGACTGCAGATGACCCACTGCTCCAAGCTCCGCCCCCCGGGATACGCCATTGGTTGCCCGCCGCATGTGACCCTGCGTGATTGGACAGAGCAGAGATGTCAGTCGAGCGTGGGGGGAGGGACGATGAGAGGGTGAGAGAGAGAGCAGTGAGCTGGGAGTAATGAGGAGCCAGTTACAGAGAAGGCATGAATCCAGCTCTATGTCCACAGCTCTATGTTCACAGCTCTATGTCCACAGCTCTATGTTCACATCTCTATGTCCACAGCTCTACGTTCACAGCTCTATGTCCACAGCTCTAGTACTCCACACAAGAAGAAAGGAAACATCTCTATGTAGACCAATAGGGCCACTTTAGTTTACCAGACTTGTCCAGGGCCCGAGAACCTGAAAAACTGTTCTGAACTTTAAATTCAGCTTTAATAAGGTTGACCTTGGCTACGATAGCAACTATATTTTGTGCTACAATCAAAAACAAGATATAACACAAAAATCTTGTTGTAAAGCTTTTTTACAGCAAGATACGTGGTAGAGCTGAAGTTGGCTGTATGACACTGTGACCTGGTGTCTATGATATTGTGTGTAAGCGAGGCAGAGGGCCAGATAACATGACACAGAGGGCCGCATTTGGCCCGCATGCCTGAGTTTGGACATGCCTTATGTAGACTGATGGTGGTGGAAAAATCGATTCTGTTCAGTATCACAATTTTTGTCACATTTTTGCCAATTCTGACCTCTAATGCACACAGCTCTATAATCTAATGCACACAGCTCTATAATCTAATGCACACAGCTCTATAATCACAGCTCTATGTCCACAGCTCTATGTCCACAGCTCTATGTTCACAGCTCTATGTCCACAGCTCTATGTCCACAGCTCTATGTCCACAGCTCTATGTTCACAGCTCTATGTCCACAGCTCTATGTTCACAGCTCTATGTTCACAGGTGAGTGTAGTACGCCACACAACAAGACAATTTATGGACGTAGTAAACAATTTTATTGCAAGCAAATGTTTTGTTTTATTTGATTTTCAGAGGATTTTAGAAATGCTAAACTAGACAAACACTTTCAGTCATCACAATTCATTAAACAAGCATTTTTTCTTTTGGTTAATTCATGTATTCATCCATCCATTAACAACTGCATTTATTAATTTAGTTTAGTTAATGTATGTATTTTCATAATAATTGATTCATGTATTCATTCATGTATTTATGTATATTACTTCACTCAGTCATAATGTTGAGGGTTGTGGCTTACAGTCCATTTTTAGAATATTGTAATTTCAATTCAGTTCAATTTCTTTGTGTCTCGCTCTTTTTACATGACTTTACTGTAAAGCCTGCTCTGCTCTTGCGTTTCAGTCACGCTGCTGCGGCCGGTTACTCACAGGGAGGTGAACCACGTCAGCGGTTCTCAAACTGCCGTACCGTCCTCCGTTTTGTATGTCATTTATTATTCCTTCAAAGAGAGATGTAACAGGTGTCTGCTAACGGAGGTGGTAGGAGCAGCACCAATGAATCTTTCTAATGACGACATGAAAACATCCTCAAAGTAAACTACTACAACCAAAAACACGTTCCCCTCAGTCCTGTAAAAGTACTCTACACATTGTAATCTACGCTACCGTTTCCTCTACACTACCAGAGCCGGGAAGGACTAAATAAAGACCAGGTTATGGTGAAACAGTCTCAACCAGAGGAGAGGAGAGTAGGGATATGCAGGGCTGGTGGAAACGGGGCTATTGTACCACTATAACACAAACAAAAGTGTCAATTCCTCAAGTGAAATGACGTTTTTGACAATCACGTGTCTATGTTTGCTGCTGTTAATTTTCAAATTTGGGAAACAAAAAAAACATATTCAACTCCTCCCTCTGGTGGAAGCATAGGGAGTTACAGGCAGACAGCTTTTTTGGTATCATTTATATATGTTCTGCCATTTATTACCTTTTAAAAATTATAGTTCACACTAAAAATATGAGGCGACAAAATTAAACCTCTGTGTAATGCATGTGGGGATTGTGATGATTGTCATTTTGTGGTGAATTTAGTGATTGTGGTGAATTTTAGTGATTGTGGTTAATAAAGTAATTGTGTGAATTTAGTGATTGTGGCGAGGATGATTGTGGTGATTTTAGTGATTGTGTATTTTTAGTAGTTGTGGTGATGCAGTGATGATGGTGATTGTGGTGAGTGAGTTCACCAGGACAGGACGCAGCTGCTGTGGTCTCACTTGGACCAGAGTCAGGTCTTAAGCCTCTTATGGACTTACACTACTCTGCACCTGGATGTAAGCTTGGAAAACAACACCAGCGTCTGCGTCTTATATCTGCAAGACGTAATTAATTCAACCATTCTGAGATTTAAAGCTGGGGTGCGTAACTTACAAAACACAATGAACTATATGTAATAAAATCCATATCTCCTTGTTCTCCAGTTTGCTTCTATTACTAGTTTTTTTATTCATTAGATCACAAGGTTAGCAAAAAGTGACAACGAGAAGACCTGCCTAAATCATCCAATCGGCTCTCAGCCCAAAGAGTCAAATAGTGACTCACAGGGCTCTTTATTACAAGTATACAAAAAATAACATGTTTAAGGTGAAGACAGCCTGTTAGCAACCCCAGCGCTCACTCTGTGTGTGTGTGTGCGTGTGTGTGTGTCAGTGTGACAGAGTGTGAGTTTGTGTTTGCTTATGTGCGTGTGTGTGTGTATTAAAGACTTTTTATAAAGTTGCAACTGGCAAATGTTAAAAGTCTTGTTAATTCAGCAGGATAAAAAGCATATATATTGTAAAGCATATTCAGCATTACTTCAGTTAATAAAAGTCTCTTTTTTGTCTGAGAAAACCAATGTGAAAAAAGCAAAATGTTTTAGAGCAAGGAGATTGTGACATGGGGTTAGTTATTTTTTGTGGTTTGAAAGCTATTGTTATCTTCCAGGCTTTAAAATAACAAAACAAAAAGTAAACATAACATACTTTGTTTCTGTGCATAATTAACAAAGCTTAAAATGTCAAACCCACAAAAGTATACCTCATATACCTCGGACAACGCAATTAAACAATAATTGTGTTATTGTATATATTGCAATGAAAAGTAAGTATATATATTTTTATCATTATCACTAACAACTTCAATGTCAACAAGACAGAAAAATAATCTCAAAAGATCAAAAAGACTGGAATAAAAGCAATAAATGTCTTCCACTTTTCTGTGCAGGAAAAAAAACAGTCCTTCAATTGATTGGATGCATCGAGTCTCAGCTTTAATACAGCATTAACTAAACTATTAATCAAACTATTTTGCCTCATCGCACTGTCCTCTATCATTTCTGTCCATTTCTACAAAGTGTCCATAAATCTGCATAGGACTGAATTTCATACTCACGCAGGCTTCTGTCCTCGTGTCCGTCTTTCAGATCAATACTGGCTCCTCCGCTCTCGTTTTATTACTTAGATTTTGACGTGTGTCTCTTTAAAACACTGCCCACCCAGTTTCTATAGCGACTGAGAGGAAGAGGTGATGGGGAGGGGGGATTCATGCTCAAGGCCTCAGCCAATCAGAGCGAGGCGTGGGAGGGCTTTAGAGTAAGAGCACAATGGCTCTGGATTAGGTTGATAGGGAGTTTTAATCAAAATTAAAGGACTTAAAAGGATGGAAAATTTTCATCTTTTTTGAGATTGTATCTATGTTACCTTCTCCTGTCTTTCTCCTAGTGTTATGCCGGTCCTCTCCTGTCTTTCTCTTAGTGTTGTGCCGGTCCTCTCCTGTCTTTCTCCTAGTGTTATGCTGGTCCTCTCCTGTCTTTCTCCTAGTGTTATGCTGGTCCTCTCCTGTCTTTCTCCTAGTGTTATGCTTGTCCTCTCCTGTCTTTCTCCTAGTGTTATGCTGGTCCTCTCCTGTCTTTCTCCTAGTGTTGTGCCGGTCCTCTCCTGTCTTTCTCTTAGTGTTGTGCCGGTCCTCTCCTGTCTTTCTCCTAGTGTTATGCTGGTCCTCTCCTGTCTTTCTCCTAGTGTTATGCTGGTCCTCCCTCCTGTCTTTCTCCTAGTGTTATGCTGGTCCTCTCCTGTCTTTCTCCTAGTGTTATGCTTGTCCTCTCCTGTCTTTCTCCCTAGTGTTATGCTGGTCCTCCTGTCTTTCTCCTAGTGTTGTGCCGGTCCTCTCCTGTCTTTCTCCTAGTGTTATGCTGGTCCTCTCCTGTCTTTCTCCTAGTGTTATGCCGGTCCTCTCCTGTCTTTCTCTTAGTGTTGTGCCGGTCCTCTCCTGTCTTTCTCCTAGTGTTATGCCGGTCCTCTCCTGTCTTTCTCCTAGTGTTATTCCGGTCCTCTCCTGTCTTTCTCCTAGTGTTATGCAGGTCCTCTCCTGTCTTTCTCCTAGTGTTATGCTTGTCCTCTCCTGTCTTTCTCCTAGTGTTATGCTTGTCCTCTCCTGTCTTTCTCCTAGTGTTATGCTGGTCCTCTCCTGTCTTTCTCCTAGTGTTGTGCCGGTCCTCTCCTGTCTTTCTCTTAGTGTTGTGCCGGTCCTCTCCTGTCTTTCTCCTAGTGTTATGCTGGTCCTCTCCTGTCTTTCTCCTAGTGTTATGCTGGTCCTCTCCTGTCTTTCTCCTAGTGTTATGCTTGTCCTCTCCTGTCTTTCTCCTAGTGTTATGCTGGTCCTCCTGTCTTTCTCCTAGTGTTGTGCCGGTCCTCTCCTGTCTTTCTCCTAGTGTTATATCGGTCCTCTCCTGTCTTTCTCCTAGTGTTATGCTTGTCCTCTCCTGTCTTTCTCCTAGTGTTATGCTGGTCCTCTCCTGTCCTTCTCCTAGTGTTATTCCGGTCCTCTCCTGTCTTTCTCCTAGTGTTATGCCGGTCCTCTCCTGTCTTTCTCCTAGTGTTATGCCGGTCCTCTCCTGTCTTTCTCCTAGTGTTGTGCCGGTCCTCTCCTGTCCTCTATTCACAGTGAGACAGTCGTGTAGAACAATTATTGCCGTACACATCACATTTTTTAATTGGTAGAGACATCTTCGTGAATACCTTTAATATGATTGGCCTTACTGAGTGTCTGTGAAAATATGGCATGTTAT